TTAGAATATTCAATACACAACTAATTGACCATTCTTAGTGAACTTTTGGGAGATCTAAAATGGCTTTGGGATGATGTTTCCCACTGTCCTTTGCATAGTTTTCCATGCTCAGAGACAGACAATACAACTCGGACAAATAACAGTTCATACAACTGAGACAAATAAAGCTTTGGACCTCAAAATACCATTGCTGCATCTCATAAGGTCTAACTTCAGCTGTTACAATAAAAGAAAAAGGGATACCCTAAAATTGCACCACTTGTCTTCAAGATGATTTATGTAGCCCATAAAATATGAGCAAACTTCTATAAAGTTGTATACCATCTTAATCTTGAGAGAGCAATAATTTGTAAAGCTATGAAGCCGGTGAGTATTCATTGTTATAACTAGATTCTGCATACAAAGAATTTTAGGGGCAGCCAATAAAACACTTGGCATTTAAAAATTAAATCTGATGCCCATTCATCTTTTATTAAAAATGTTTATGTGCAGTAATTTATGCAGTGGGCACTTCACTATTTACATAATGAAAAAACATTGTGCATGATTAATCTTCCTATATTCTTACAGTTAAACAATAGTATACAAGTACGTGGGCAGCCTTCATGCTGTGCTATAAAAGGCAAATTAATCAAGGCTTTCAGCAATAGTGTTTTTGAACTTGCAGATCATAACTGAGATTCCTGTGGTGTGCTTGTGTACATAAAAGTGACGATTGGGAGAAGAGCTTTTTCATTGTTTTGGTTTTTTGAAGACCATCAATGCTATGCAGCATGGGTACAGTGAGAACAGACTATAATTTACAGGTAACATTTGTTTTTGCATTGAGGTTTTATTTGTTTTCTTATGTAAGTACTGCAAGGTGGAGTTTGGTGTAAACTGATAGTATGTCAGAGGCAAAAGTGGTGGGATGAGGCTGAGCTGGATTCTAAGATGTTTGGTTAGCCAGGAGTAGGGCCATATTTTCCCATATGAATCTGTTTGTGTTCTGAGAACTTGTGAGGAGGCCTTTCTCTCTGTCTCTGTTAGGATTGTACTTTTATTTTTGGGGAAAATCAATCAGTCATGCAAGTGCACACACCTACACACACTAGACTATTTAGGGAAAGTCAATCAGTCATGTTAGGATTGGG